ATGAGTGAACAATTCGTAAAGGAGTGAGGTTCGTATTTGTCTTACTTAATAAAGAAGAAAAATAAATCTAACTAACATTGTCATCAGTCATAGTGTCTTTGCAAGGGGAATGCAATGACAGGGACACGCGGGAAATGCCAATAGAATGTATTGTGATAAGCACATATATATATGCATGGTATATGGTGATGTTACACGGTGACATTTATGCAGGTGAAGAGTGTGTTGTGATGATCATACAAGTGAACATATGCAGCGCTGGTCGAAAGTCTGGTTCGATTTCGAGTTCAAAGACCTGCCGTTGTTATTCATTTCCATTGTTATTTTTTTCCAGCCAAAAAATATAGATATTTTGCAAAGGATATATTTGTGTGATAAATAGAGAATGGATAATTTGAGATGACAAAGCAAGAACCACATTTCCAACTGTGAAAATATGAAACGGAGCCACAGTAAGAAAGAGTCGAGAGACACAAAACATATTGATGCTATATTTGTTATTTAAACCAAGAAAGATTTCTTGTGCTTTAATAAAATATACCTCTGACTATGTTCTTGTTTTCTTGTTTGTACACTTGCGTGGCTCTGTTTCGGTAATAGAATTCATTGTTTTCATTGCCAAGGCTGCCAGCCACGCAAACAAAAAGTCGATTGCGTCCCGTCAGGTTTCAAAATGACCTCGAGGGAACCAGACTCCTGACCAGCGTCGGTTCATGGAGAGCGTACAGGTGAGAGATGGCGAGGAGGAGATTCTTGGGTGACTGTTTACTGAAGCAAAGATTATGCTGTCTTGTGACTAGTAACACAGACTGCACGGATCGGTAACAAAGAGATGATAATGATTCTTCTTCGAAAACCAATGTCTTGTTGATTTGATATTTTGTTGTAAAGAAATGAAAAAGAGAAAATATGAAAGAGTTGTTTATAATATTTTCTTTTTATGGGCAGAACACCTGAACCACTGTCACATGTGTGTAAGCAACCTCCTGCACAATGGTATGCATGTTGGTGACCTGCAACATTATTCCCAAACGTTGCAAAATGGGTGATTGCCACGAATGAAAATAAAAAAAAACTCGTACAGGTACATGGTTGTGAGTGATCGGCGACATCACGGTTAAGCAGATGACCTGTAACACAGTCGTGGGTGAGAAGGTGACCTGTTAAAAAACCGGCGCAGAAGTCCAAAAATGACCTATAACGCACGTTTAACACCCGCACTGTTTATGTAGCTGATCTGTAACTCCGTCATGGGACCTGTAACACTGTCGTAAATGTGTAGGTCTTTGGTGCTCGGTCAGTCACACTAACTAATCCACCATACACACTGTCACATCGTGCAGGTTTAATGGTGACCCTGAAATATTAATTATATAGTTAACGCAGTGAGAGAAGAGCCATTTGAAGAACTGCAAAAGATGGACATTAAAGTAGCCATTTGCTATGCCTTTCGTGTTTTGCAGATAGATAGCAAGGGAATATCCTGGTTAGATAATCTGGAGAAAATAATGCCTTCATATCGTCATTCAAAATTATTCAGAGAAAAAGAGATTTGGAATTTTGGTCAAAGAGAAAATACTGCATCGCTAAAAGGTTTCATATTTGATAATCATGTTAATCTTCATTTATATAGATGTAGATAATCGATTGTATGGCATCTAATTATTAATTGTTAATGGGGATCAAAATGAAAATTATTATTTTTGGAGTACTCTAAGCAAAAACTTTGAGTGACGTCATGAAATCACACAACTATACATTATATTACCGTGAAAAATATGTACAAGCGCTGTTTTAATGCTAAACGAAGGATATTAAATCTATATCATAGATAAAAAGCTAAGTTAATTATTAAATTACAGAATAATGTAAATTTGTGACAGCAAACCACTACAGTGAACACTTGCGTAATAACTTAAGTAATAAGTTTAGTACAGGAACACAAAACTTGTTTATTATTCCATTTATCAATTTAGCACATTTCTAACAAAAATGGTTAATAAACATTTAATTTACAACCAATTTTATTGTGTTATAACGACTCATAACTCACTAATTTTAAATCCACGTTACTGTATGATAAAGACCATTATATTGTTTATGTCCCTTGACTCTAACCTTGATCTGAATTTACAATTTTTAGTATTCTGATTCCGTCTTTCTAATATGACCCAACATAACCCAGTATGACTCTTCTCTTTCTTCCTTTCCTTCACAAAATGCACAAGACACACAGTTCTCCCCTCGCTGCTTAAAAAAAAGAAACCTAGTTTCTCATACTATCTTCCTGATTTCTACACAACACACACTCTCTTTCATATAATATCTACAGCACGCACGCTCTAAAGAACCCATTTTTTTTGTTTGCTTCACCACAAAGCAGAAGGAAACCAAAGCAAAAAAGAGGAGGAATCTCCCAAAAGACAGAGGAAAAAACAGTAAACACCAAATAAACTTATTGAAACATGGCGTACACTGATTTTTTCCCAGTCCATATCGC